TGAGGTTGAGTTTTTTGATGGTATCCCGTTGGGCTGAACGCGGCACGTAACTATTTGTAACATCTTTGAACAATAATCACCTTGCAATGAACATTCATGTTCATAGAATGCTGCTTCTTCTGTGATTCGGACCAACGGCTCGATGCAGTCACAGTAAGAAGGCGTGTCACGGTGATCTCTCCCCTTCCTCCCTAACCGTGGCACGCCACTTCTTCTGTCCAGTCGCAACCTGAACAAAGGTTCGCAAACTGGACAATCCTGTCCAGGTCTATATAGTTGTTCAGCCTTTGTACCTGGACAGCCCTGCCGTGGATGCCAAGTTACCAACATCGCAAGAACAGGAACTGTACCGGATCGGTACCGTCGCTTCGCTTACCGGATTATCCGTTGAACGATTGCGGGCCTGGGAACGGCGCTATGACCTCACTCCAGCCCAGAAAACGGGTAAAACGCGGTTTTACAGTCGTGAGCAATTGCAACAGCTGCAACTCATCAAACACCTCATTGACCAGGGGCAACCCATCTCGAGCCTCGCTGCCCTGTCTATCAGCCAACTGGAAGCGCGCATCGATAGCCAACCGGCAGAGCCTGTCGTCGCCAGCCTGCATGCGCCAAGCGTTGGTCTGATCGGCGCAAACCTGGTGACCCTGGAGCAGCAGGAACAGGAACGTGAAACCCCCAGACGCATCGACATCGCGACACGATGGGCCAATATGGCGGCTTTCACAACGGAACTGAAACAGGCCCGGGGCGCACTCGAGGAGCCTGCGGTGATGGTTGTTCAACTTCCCGTATTATCACTACAACCTGTTGAAAAAATTAGGAATTTTTACCCCAACGCAAAGCTTGTGATGATTTATCAGTTCACCCAGGCTGATGCCTTGAGCGCTTTTGAAGAAGCTGGCATCCCAACACTGAAATGGCCGGTAAGCTGGCAGGAAATTGAACACACGGTTATCTCGGAAAGCGGCCAGCCTGCACGGGCAGGCCGACAGGTACCCCGACACTACTCGGACGAGGAGCTGATCGCCATCGGCAGCCAGGACGATGACCCTACGCGATGCCCCCAACACCTGGTTGAGGCCATACATCAGCTCAATGCGCTGGCCAGTTATACCGCAGACTGCGCACGGGAACAGACGACGCCACAGGCCATGTTGAACGCACAAAGCGATATCAGCCAGGCGCGAGCACATCTCGAGGTCGCGCTTGGCACACTTTTGCAGGATGGTGACATCAGTTTGGTGGGTTAAAAGAAGCAGGCCCGAGAAACGGTAACAACCCTCAAATGACTCGACGCCGATACCTGTACAAAATCTAAACAAAAACTCAATAAATGTTTGACAGCACTCATCTGTACTGTACACTTCCTCTCAACAAGACAGTTCTAGGCGTGCAAGCAACTTCGTGCAGTCCTCCCTTTCAAGTGTCCTTCCCCCAGAAGAGAAGTTGCATTCAGGCGGTTACCGCCGCCTGACACGCCATTTTTATTTCAAGCCAGCCGCCTAATTATCTGAGAGATGGGATATGCCTGGGCCAGTCTGGCATATAAACTGCGTACCGCCGCACAACACAATAACTTTAACCGCGGCATGCTAGGCAGTTACCTCAATGCCCCCTGGATCATGACAGCGTACATCACCAGACTAACCCTGCTTGGCCTGATGCCAATACTGCTGAGCGCCTGCGGAGGCGGTGGAGGCGGCAGCAGTCGCGCAGCACCACCGGTAACACCGCAGAACGTCGCACCCCAAGCCCGCTTCACGCTCAGCCAAAGCAGTGGTACCGCTCCCCTGGTCATCACCGCAGACGCCAGCTCATCGAGCGATAGCGACGGCGTGATTGATACCTATACCTGGTCCTTCGCTGGTAACCCTGGCATTGGACCTGTGGCTCAATTCACTTTTGAAAACCCGGGCAGCTTTAACGTACAACTGACGATTACGGACAACGACGGCGCCACAGCGACGGCGACAAGAACCGTAACGGTCAGCGACAGCCTCGATACTTACACGCTAAGCGGCACCGTACGCATTTCGAGCGCCACCGCAGTAGACAATGATGTCAACGATCGACTGACCAATCCAATCACCAACAATTCTTTTGTAACTGCGCAAGACCTGCCCGCCCCGGTAACTCTGGGCGGCTTCGCAAATGTGTCCGGCGCAGGCGAGCCCACGGGCAATTTTTTCACCACCGGCGACAAAGACGACTTCTATCAACTGGATCTGAACGGCAACGAGACGGTCATCCTGACCATCGCCGATGCGGGCACAGACCTCGATCTGGTGCTTTGGGACGAACAACGTCAACTGGTGGATGCTTCCCTGGGCACATCCACAGCCAGTGGTAATTTTGAGATAGTTGAAGCACCCACGGCGGGACGTTATTTCATTCAGGTGTTTGCCCTGAACGGCGCCAGCAATTACGTGCTTACCATCGGACAAAACCCTGCAGGCAATGCCATGATGCAGGACGCGCGAAGGCTCAGCGATCCTTTTGTTCCGGGCGAGCTGATCTTGAAACACAAACCAGAACACGCCCACCCGAAAGGCGGCTTCCGCACCCTCGAACGACAGTTGAGCGAAGGCGATCGTGTCCTGGCGCCCGGCTTGTTTATTCCTGAACTTGCGATGAAGCAGGCAAAACTGCCTGCAAAGGGTCGAATCAGCGCAGATTTAAGAAGGCGCTGGCAGACCCTGATGGCCTTGAAACAGGCGCGTCAGAACAAAGATATTCTGAGCGCCGAACTGAATCTGCTGGCGAAAACCCACGCCTCTCCTGATGATGGCTTTTTTGACTCGCAGTGGCATTACCCCGCCATCAACCTGCCGCTGGCCTGGGATACAACAACCGGTTCGCCAGATGTCATTGTTGCTGTCGTCGACAGTGGTGTGCTGCTTAATCACCCCGATCTGAACGGGAAGTTGGTGGCAGGCTACGATTTTGTTTCGGACAGTACCCGCGCACGCGACGGTGACGGCATAGACTCGAACCCTGATGACCCGGGCGACCAGGAGTTTGGCGGATCCAGCAGTTTTCACGGCACCCACGTCGCCGGCACGGTAGGCGCCAACACCAACAACGGTAGCGGCGTTGCCGGGGTTGGCTGGCAAACACGCATAATGCCCATGCGCGCCCTGGGAGAAGGTGGCGGGTCTACCTTTGATATCGTGCAGGCGGTCAGATATGCGGCGGGACTGCCGAATAATTCAGGCACAACACCCACCCAACGCGCCGACATCATCAACCTGTCCCTGGGTTCCAGTTTTTCCTCCCCCAGTGAACAGGAGGCCTATACCGCCGCCATTCAGGCCGGGGTCATCATCATTGCCAGCGCAGGCAATGACGCATCCGACCTGCCCTCCTATCCTGCCGCCTACGATGGGGTCATTGGCGTCAGCGCTACAACCATTACCAACGAGATAGCCAGTTACTCGAATTTTGGCAGCAGCATTGACGTCGCCGCGCCGGGTGGCTCAAACATTACCGATTTTAATGGCGACGGCATTGGCGATGGAGTGATCTCCACCATAGGCGACGACAGCAGCGGCGGCCCGATCGAGTTTGGGTACTTGTCACAGTTTGGTACGTCGATGGCAGCACCACATGTCTCTGGTGTCGCCGCATTGATGAAAGCCATCTACCCGGCTTTGAGCCCGACAGAATTCAGCGCAGCCCTGTCTGCCGGTGATCTGACTGATGATCTTGGTGAACCGGGTCGGGACGATCGCTATGGATACGGTTTGATCAACGCACAGAAAGCAGTGATCGCCGCCACGCGGTTAGCCAACGGTCAGGGTGTTGATCCTGGCCCGATTCTTGTGGCGTCTGCCAGCACCCTCAACTTCGGGAGCTTCAGCAACAACCTGAGCGTTACATTGCAGAATGTAGGGACGGGCAATCTGACTATCACCGGAGTAAGCGCAAACGCGCCCTGGGTTACGATCACGCCACCACCAACAGGCAATGGCCTGGGTGAGTATCAGATCAATATCAACCGCAGCAACCTCATCGACGGCGCCTATCAGGCCACGTTGACGTTCGGGTCGTCAGCCAACCAGGTGCAGATAACGCTGATCATGCAGGTATCCAGCATGGGCACTACCGCAGATGCCGGTTTGTTGTATGTCATTCTGGTCGACGAAGACGGTGAGACCGTGGTGCCGGCACGCCTGGTCACTACCACCGACGGTACCTATCCATTCACAATTAACAACGTACCCGCTGGTCAGTACCGATTATTCGCAGGCACAGATGCAGATGACGATGCGGTGCTGTGCGACGCGGGAGAATCCTGCGGCGCACTGGCTACCCTCGACTCGCCAACTATTGTCGCCGTAAATGATGATCTGCAGGGTCTCGACTTTGAATCCAGCTTCCGCGTCAACCTCAACACCAGCGGCATTCAGGGACAGACATCGACAGAAACCCCGGTCCGGGAAAACAGCGGACTGACTTTTTCTAAACAAGACGTCGTGGTACAGCCCTGATGACACCTGTACAGCTGGCTCACAGCGCGAAACTCCTGATTCTGATCAACCTGACCTGGCTGGTATCAGGCTGCCAGACAGGCACACCCATCACCGCGGTTGAACTGTTCAGCCATGCAAACTGCAATGGTGTCACTAAAGGCATCCAACAAATACAATTTGCGGATCTCGCGGCGATCCGCAATGTGCAGATGTTAACCAGCCCCACATCTGGCGGCGCTGATCAACCTGCCAACGACACGCAGACAAAAGACGTTCTGTTGTTTGTTATATCAAACGGCAATCAGCCCACACCCGGATACGGCTTCGACCTGGCAAAAACGGATGCGACATCAAGTGAAGTAGAGTTACATTATCGCTGGCGCATCCCACCAGCGGACGCTGTTCTGGCTCAGGTGATGACGTCTCCGTGCACGGTGATTCAACTTGACGCTCACCCTGATCTTGCCGCGGTCAGCGCCTGGCTGGATGACACCCTGCTCGGCAGGGTTATGTTGCAGCCACAGTCTAACTGAGTAACTCCAGCGCAACCTCTGCACGGGTAGACACACTGAGCTTGTAGGCTTCCAGATCCATATCGCGATTTTCGCCCATCGCCCCAACCAGATATCGTTTGTAAACACCTTGGCCGATAGCTGCGAGGCGCCAGTGTGAAAAAGCGCGATAATAAGAAATATTACTGAGATCACGACCTGTTGCCTGAGCATAACGCTCAGCCAGCGCCTCCCGATCCGGGAAACCACCCGCCGCAGTAGGTGCCGTGTCTTCCGGCGCTTCACCAGGCAGCACCCACCAGTTCAACATATACCCCACATCAGCCAACGGATCCCCTAAGGTACATAGCTCCCAATCCAGTACAGCGGCAATTTTGCCATCGGCCACAATCATGTTACCGAGCCGATAGTCGCCATGCACGATGCTTGCGCCAATCTGTTCAGGCATCAGTTCTGTCAGCAGACGACTGGTCTCATCCATGGCAGGTATCTCATGGGTTTTGCTGGCTTCCCACTGCTTATTCCAACGTTTGAGCTGTCGCGCCAGATAAGCCTCTTTACGACCCAGGTCCCCGAGCCCGACATCATCCGGATTAATAGCATGCAACCTGGCGAGCACATCTACCACATCATGACCTATCGATATACGTTCCTCTGCGGTCAAATTGCTGGCCGCTTCGGTATCATGCAAAACAGGACCGGGGACATATTCCATCACGTAGAACGGCGCACCGTTCACTTCCGGGTCGTGGCACACACCAACGGTCTTTGCGACTGGTACTGAAGAGCCCGCCAATCCGGATATTATTTTGTGCTCGCGGCCCATATCGTGTGCACTTTCCAACACGTGCCCAAGCGGCGGACGACGCAATACAAAAGTCTGGCCATTACTGTCTTTGACCGAAAACGTCAGATTCGAGTGCCCGCCGGCAATTAAGGTGAATTCGAGCGGCGGCGAAATATCTTCTACCTGCGTTTTAAACCACTGTGTAACGTTGGCTGCGTGAACGCCTTCAACCTCTTGCATGTCTATCCCCCAGAAAATTACTCATACTCTTATACTTAGCTATCGGAAAAGCAATATTTAACAACGCTCTGAGCCCATTGTGCTGAAATTGCCACCAAAATATCCGCAGAAACAACGTTTATGCGCGCTGTTTCTGCTTGCGAGTTTATGTCTCGGGTGCAGCGCCGTGGAACCTGGCGTTCCCAAGTCGAACACACCTGCGGAGAACCGCGCCACCCTGACCCTGGCCAACGGCTCAACGCGAACAATTGCCGTAGAGCAGATGGACTATACCGGCCAGGCTACTCTGACGCTGGCAGATGGCAGCAGCCGCAGTGGCACCTGGAAGAATGGTCAGTTAAACGGCATGGGTATGGAAGAGACCCCTGCAGCAGTTTATACCGGCCAGTGGTATAACAATCTCCGTCACGGTCATGGCGAATTGAAACACAGCAACGGCGATAGTTATGTTGGCAACTTTGCAGCTGGACAACCCGATGGCCGCGGGATTTTTACCAGCAACAAAGGCGTCTACAGAGGCACCTGGGAAAACGGTCAAAAACACGGCCAGGGGCAGTTCAACGGCAACAATGGCGAGGTCTACCAGGGCCAGTGGGTAAACGACAGGCGCCAAGGCTCCGGTGTCGCTCAGCTCAGTGATGGCGCCACGTACGCCGGCGCCTGGCTGGCAGACCAGCCGCACGGTTTCGGCAGGAAAACCCTTGCCAGCGGCGCTTCCTTTGAGGGCAGCTGGGCAGCGGGGAAACGCCAGGGATATGGTGTTTTCTTGAGTGCAGCTCAAGTGCGCTACGAAGGCACCTGGCAAGACAACCTCAGACATGGCTTCGGCAAGGAAACACGACCTGACGGCAGCAGTTACGAAGGCGCCTGGGCGTTCGACCTGCAACACGGTGAAGGCACCGCTGTTTTCGCCAATGGCAGCACACACCAGGGTCAATGGCGCAACGGCGAATTAGCTGGTGAAGGCCACAGAACCAGTCGCGCCGGCATTGTGCTGAGTGGATTCTGGCAGAACAACATGCTCACGACGGGGCAGCTGCTTCTACCTGACGGCGAAGCCTACAACGGACCACTGTTTGCACCCAACGGACGTGAAGTTGCCGCGCCGCTGGTGACCTGGTTGACCCTCCAGGCAACCCAGGAACAGGCCCACGCACAGTTTTTTCTGGGCAGCGTAATGCTGGATTTTGACTCCCCTGCACCAGATCTGCAAAGCGCAGAGTTCTGGCTGCACAAAGCCGCCACCGCTGACGTTGCCGAAGCACAATATCGTCTTGCGCAGCTGCTCATGGAGCAGGACAGAACGCAAGCTGTGCAGTGGTTAGAGGCCGCGGCGGCCCAGGATCACTCCGGCGCCCACGCAACGTTGGGCGAGATGCTGCATAGCGGCGTGCATTTTCCACAGAATCATAGCCTCGCCCTTGAACACTATAATACTGCTCACCAGCTGGGCAGCCTTTCCGCCACCAACAATCTGGCCTGGTTGCTGGCCACCACCGCAGATACCGATACCGCTAACCCACAACGTGCCGTTGAACTGATCACACCTCTGGTGTTGTACCTGGGACATTGGCAACATCTGGATACGCTTGCAGCTGCCCATGCTCGAGAAGGCAATATAACCCTGGCGGTCAGATTACAACAGCAGGCGCTTTCTCAAGCCCTCTCCCAACCACAAGATGCAACATCGGCTGAGCAGATCAGCAGCATGCAGGAAAGATTAGACCTGTATCAGGCCGGCGAGCCGTTCATTAACTGATCAGGCGCGGCGCAGGTGCGTGATACGATTGGCAAGGGTGGCGGAAGTACATTGATTACGGCCATTCTGTTTACTGGCATACAACAATTCATCAGCCTTGGATGTCATCACGTCCAGCGGCGTCGTGCTGGTTTCGCAGGTCACACTACCGGCGCTGACAGTTATCATCAGTTCTTTTGATTCAAGTTCAATGGGGTTCTGGGCAATCGCTTCCAACATGCGCTGCGCCAGGCTTTGAGCGCCCTCACGGGCGGTATGCGGAAGCAGCAGAATAAATTCTTCACCACCAAATCGTGCCAGCACATCTGAATCACGCACCAGAGATTTAATCACCTGTATCGTTTGCACCAGCGCCTGATCACCCGCTGCGTGACCATGTTTATCATTCACCTGTTTGAAATCATCGAAGTCGATGAGCACAACACTGGTGGGATAGCAGTGTCTTGCGGCCAGAGCGAGTTCACGCTCAGCCACTTCCATAAACCGCCGACGATTCAACGTATCCGTTAAAGAATCGGTTTCGCTAAGCGCCTGAAGGCGCTGGTTAGCACTCTGCAGACGGTAAGACAGTGAGATATTCATGAAACTGGCTATCGGTGCCACCAGTAACGGCACGCCTATCGCCAGATAGATGCCTATGGGCGCTATTAATTCGCCAAAAGCTAAGTAGCCTGCAACCACCGTAATGGTCAGCGATGCAAGCACGGCAAATAGTGTCAAACGCGCAGTAGCAGCCGCGATAACACGGTAACCTTGTTTGTCTATTTTTTCTGAACCATCTGCCGATGTCATTGGGACCCAAACTGAACTGCCTGAAAACTGTCACATTTTACGCCACCGGCTGACACAACAACGTGTCGCGGTTTGACTTGTGACAAGCAATCCCTGTCTGGCAGAGGATCCTTCAGCAAAGCGTGACGACATTCACGGCGAAACTATGACATCCGTACTAACGTCCGGCCTGATAGGAGGTCACCCGGGCATACGTGTGCGTGGCAGACCAGGCGATAAGTGACAGGCCGACCAATGCTTGTGAGCCGGTCAGAATCTGTATGCCGACACCCGGCACGATGTCACCAAATCCCAAAGTGGTATAAACCACAGCGGAATAGTAGGCGTAATCCAGTAAGGTTGTGGCGCCGTGCAGTTCGCCTATGCCCAACCAGCCACAGGCCACGTAAGCCAGTGCGTAAAGCCAGATTTCAATAACGTGCGCCAGCAGAAATCCGGTCCAGGAGACCAGCAAGCCAAACCGCGCGCTGGGAATGCGCAGCAGAATTTTTTCGATTAAAAGCACCGCTTCAAAGTGCACCAGCACGCACACCAGTGCCATAAATAAAGCTACGGACATGTCCAGCATGCTCAGCCCCGCTTGTTATTTCCGTTGTTACGATAAAACCAGCCTGCACGCAGCGATGCAAGCGACCCTGGCAGCACCGCGGCAGTCCAACGACCAAACTAAAAAACTAGCATTCTGCCTGACGCTGCGTAAGATAATTTGTAACTATTTACCTAAAAAGGTGTTACATGCGCTACGTACTGGCAACGTTGGTTTTTCCATTGCTTTTTGTGCTGTCCGGCTGCGGCCAGGGCAATAACCCTGCCAGCTCTAACCCCGTCGAGGAACCCGAGAATGACACCGCTGCAATAACCGAATCGTCCGCTGCGTCTATAGAAGCATCAGTACCGGCAATGAGCGACAGTCTGGCCACCATTCTGGATGCGCAGCCAGATGCCGTGAAAGCACGTTATGTTTACCGACACCCTCAGGAAACCCTTGAGTTTTTCGGCATTGAACCCGGCATGACCGTCGGCGAAGCACTGCCTGGCGGGGGGTGGTACAGCAAAATTCTACTACCTTATCTGGGCAGTGAGGGCGCCCTTGTTGGCATCGACTATCCCCTGTCGCTGTGGCCAAACTTCGCATTTGCAGACGATGCTTATCTTGCCAGCAAAGCAACCTGGGTCGCCGATTGGAGTGCGGAAGCTAATGGCTGGCGCGGCCCCGATGACGCCTCAGTTTCCGCGTTCGTTTTTGGCGCTATGCCTGGCTCTGCTGCGCAGACCATGGATGCGGTGCTGCTGATCCGCGCCCTGCACAATCTGGCGCGTTTCAGTGATCCGGAAGATCCGGAGAAAAATTACCTGCAAAACGTGCTCAGCGATATTTACCAGGGGCTGAAACCCGGCGGCATTGTCGGCGTTGTACAACATGAAGCTCGCGATGACATGCCTGATGCATGGGCCACAGGTGTCGCGGGCTACCTGAAAAAGAGTTTTGTCATAGCGCAGATGGAAGCTGCAGGCTTCGAATTTGTCTCCGCCAGCGATATCAACAGCAATCCCGCAGACCAGCCTACTACTGACGATATTGTCTGGCGGCTGCCACCCTCACTGGGCACCAGTGGTGATAACGAGGAAATGAAAGCAGCGATGCAAGCCATCGGTGAATCCAATCGCATGACGCTGAAATTTATCAAGCCAACGGCTGATGGAGCTGCTGTCGGAGGTTAAACGCGTGCGTACCTGGGTCATGCCGGCCGCTCTCATACTGGCCGGCATCACCATCGCGAGCGTACTGATTTGGCTGTGTCCAGACACCAAAGAAGCAGATGAAAACCTCAGCACCACAGCCTATGTTGCCGTCGCTACAAACTTCAAATCTACGGCAGACCAGCTGATTGCTGCGTTCACCGCACAGCACCACCACGAGTTGATTGTTGTCAGCGGCTCCACTGGCAAACTGTTTAACCAGATAAAACAGGGTGCTCCTTTTGACCTTTTTTTGTCGGCGGACGCGCAACGTGCAGGCTTTCTGATTGCTGAAGGATTTGCGGTACCCGGCTCCCAGACAACATACGCTGTGGGACGTCTGGTTTTACTCGGCAACCAGCCCACCACACTGGCCGACCTCAAGCGGAACCAGTTCCGGCGTCTGGCCATGGCTAATCCAAAGCTTGCACCCTACGGTCTGGCTGCATCACAAACGCTGGAAACACTCGCTTTAAATCACGTACTGGCAGACAAGATAGTAATGGGAGAAAACGTAGGCCAAGCCTATGCGATGGTTGCCACAGGCAATGCTGATCTGGGCTTTGTCGCTTTATCCATGATCCAACCTGGGGAACGGACGCAGGCCTGGCTGGTCCCCGCTGAATATCATGACCCTATCCGACAGGATCTGGTGCTGTTAAAACACGGCCAGAACAACCCCGCTGCGCAGGCCTTTATACAATTTCTCTCCAGCAGACAGGCCGGCGCTTTGATCGAAGCCGCCGGTTATCAGGGCAACTCAACATGATCGAGTGGTCCGCCATAGTTCTGACATTGCAGCTTGCAGCTGTGACCACCGTCATTCTGCTGGTGGTTGGCACACCCCTGGCCTGGTGGTTAGCAACAACCCGTTCATCAGCAAAGGTATGGGTCGAAGCCACCACTGCTCTGCCGCTGGTGCTGCCACCAACCGTGCTGGGATTTTATCTGCTGATTGCTTTGAGTCCGGAATCACCGATTGGCGCTTTCTGGCTGGCCACCACCGGCGACACGCTGACGTTTAATTTCAGCGGCCTGGTGATCGCCTCCATTGTGTATTCACTACCGTTTATGGTTCAACCACTGCAGAATGCTTTCGAGACGCTTGGCAGAGAAACACGTGAAGCTGCCGCCAGTCTTGGTGCCAGCTACTGGGATACTTTTTTCAACGTCATTGTTCCTCAATCACAGCGCGGGTTTATCACTGCAGTGGTGCTGACATTTGCCCACACCCTTGGTGAGTTTGGCGTCGTCCTGATGGTCGGGGGGAACATTCCGGAACGCACCCGGGTGGTATCCATCGCTATCTACGAACACGTGGAAACGCTGAACTACAGCCAGGCACATGCCCTGGCCGGCTTGTTACTGGCGTTTTCCTTTATTGTCCTGCTGTTTGTGTACACCACTAACCGAAAGTTTGCGGTGCGTATCGTCTGATGCTGAACCTTGATATTTCAGCCACCCTGGGCACTTTCAAACTGAACATGAACACTCAGATTCCGGCTGCGGGCATCAGCGCGTTGTTTGGTCCCAGCGGCTGCGGCAAAACAACCGTGCTGCGCAGCATCGCCGGTTTTTCTGACTGCAAAGGCCTAGTCTCGCTGGGGAACGACGTATGGCTCGACACCCCTAACAATGTGAATCTATCGCCACATCGACGACCTGTTGGTTACGTGTTCCAGGACACACGTTTATTTCATCACCTGAACGTTGCCGGCAACCTGAAATTTGCTGCCCAGCGGGCGCCATTAAAAAGATATCTGGAAGAAAATGAAGTTATCGACATGCTGGACCTGGCGCCTCTGTTGAACCGGGACGTACAGCAGTTGTCCGGTGGCGAAACTCAACGCGTAGCCATTGCCCGCACCCTGTTGCGCCAACCCAACCTGCTACTTCTGGATGAGCCTTTATCCGCGCTGGACAACCACCGTAAACAGGAATTGTTACCTTACCTGAAGCGGGTTTGTGAAGAGCTCTCCATACCCGCGGTTTTTGTCAGCCACGCGATTGATGAAGTTGTCGCGCTCGCCACCCACACTCTGATCATGAAACAGGGGCAGGTGCTGTCTCAGGGTGCCACAGAAGATATGCTGCGCCACCCCGCAATGGCAGGCATAACCGCTAAGTCAGAGACAGGTGCAATGCTCAACGGCGAGGTATTGGGTTTTGATAGTCAGTTTCAGTTGGCAGAAGTGGCTTGCGAAGATCAACGGGTGTATGTCCCGATTCAGGACGCGCCGCCAACCGGAACGGTGGCCAGACTCTTTATCCGCGAAAAAGATGTGACGCTGGCAAAGCAGGCCCCGGTGGCCACCAGTGTGCGTAACATTCTGCGCTGCCGGATTACTCAGATACAACAGCAGGATGATTCACCCTACGCTCGGGTGCACCTGCGCCTGGGTAACCAGCACCTGACCAGTCAGGTCACACGAGCTGCGGTTGCAGACCTGATGCTGCAACCTGATTCTGAAATCTATGCGCTGGTCAAAGCTGTCAGTTTTGGCTGAAGCGAAGTTTATCCGGCGTCCGGACGCCAGTTACCATGAAAGCCAAATGGCACACGATGATCCAGATAAGCTTTAGCCAACGGCCCTGCAGACACGTTCTGAGCATCGAGAATCACCAGATGACTGGCGAGTCGATTGGCGTCGTACACATTGGCTAACAGAAACCCTTCACCTTCAGGTGCATCATCGCTGGCAGGTACAAATATCGGTTCATTGGTGGCGCACGCCTCACCGACGTCGTACAAATCCATGGCACCGGTTTTATGGTCGACGTGAGCGATCGCATTAAAACCACCAACCTTGAACTTCGGCCGGGTGTCACAGGCGACATATCCATGTCGGTAGGAAAGACCGGAGCGACGCTCATCCAGGCGCGGAAATTCACACGCAATATCATCCAGACGTTCCCATTTGTAGTCATCGGTGTTCTTGGCCAGATCAAACGACCAGCGGGTCAGGCGTGGAATCGCCTTGTTCGGGTCTCCCGGGGTGCCGTCCGGTCCAGGAAACAGTGGCGCCTGCTCAAACTCACATACGTCACAAACCACTGTATCGCCATCAGAGTGTGCGTTCATTGGATGGAACACATAGCCGGGCTCACCACGGAACCAGCGTAAATCTTTAACGCTGCCATTTCGCGGCATGATACCGATATGCACCCCTTTCTCAGGCTCCCAGGCGTAAACCGGAGCACCCTGCATGGCACGTTCAAGAGAACCTGTTAACGGCATGATCGGAAAGATCACGTGGTCTCTGGTAACCATAAAATCGTGCACCATGGCTGAGTAAGGTGCTTTGAACGTTTCAGACCGGACCAGGTTGCCGTCTTTATCTACCACGTGAAAAGACATGTTTTCGGACAACATACCGTCGATGTTGTAACCAAAGAACAGCATCTCGCCATTTTCCGGATCAATTTTCGGGTGGGCCGTCATGGGCCCCTGCAACTTACCCCCGAAGGTATGAGCGCCGACAGACTCTAGCGTCACAGGATCCAGTTCAAACGGTGCATGGGCTTCTTCCAGCGCGAGCAACTTCCCGCCATGCCAGACGATGTTGGTATTGGCTAGGCCATCTGTTTCCATCCCCGCCACGCTTTCATCGTTATCAAGGGGATTAAACGCACTGAACAGGGATCGGCCAGCCTCATGTTCCACCTGCCATTTTTTTGTTTTCACCCAACGATTCTTATACGAGGCTTTGCCGTCACCTAAATGAAACGCATGAATCATGCCGTCGCCGCCAAACCAGTGGTAATCGCCACGCGGGGCAAATTGTGGGTTGGGGCCATTACGGTAGAACGTACCCCGTAGCGCGTGTGGTATTTCGCCTTCGACAACCATGTCGTAGACGTCACACTCCATATTGACGGGTGCAAAGCCTTCTTTCAGGTTCGGATGATTAGGAAATGGAGTTGCCATGCGTGCCTCTCAATACAATGGTTCGTATCCTAAGCCTAAGCCTAAGCCTAAGCCTACGCCGGAAACGGTAGGCACTACAACCTCGGAAACCTCGGAAATTCTGCCTATAAATCGACATCCACCCCAATCGGACAATGATCTGAACCCAGTTCATTTGGCCAGATGAAGGCATCGCAAACCTTAGGCGCCGCATTTTTTGACGCTAAAATATAGTCAATGCGCCAACCCACATTATCTTCACGGGCCCCACCAAACTGGCGCCACCAGGTGTAATGACCTTCTTCATCTGGATGCTGCGTGCGGAAAGTATCTACCCAACCCGCTGCCAACCAGCGGCTTATTTCCTCTCGCTCCTCAGGCAGGAAGCCGCTGGATTTCTTATTGGTTTTCGGACGCGCCAGATCTATTTCAGTGTGCGCGGTGTTGTAGTCTCCGGTCACAAAAACCGGACCCCGTTTCTTCAGCTTTTCTACGGTTTCGAAAACCTTTCGGTAAAAACCCAGCTTATAGGGCACCCTTGAGTTATCACGATCTTTACCGCTGCCTTTGGGAAAATACACCGAGGCGACAGAGGTACGGCCATATTGCGCAACCATGAAACGACCTTCCACATCGTATTGCTCGTCGCCCAGAATGTTGATGACCCGATCAGGTTTCGTGCGGCTGTAGATGCCAACGCCGCTGTAACCCGGTCGCACCGCAGGCACAAAACTCGTGTACCAGCCTTCCGGGTTGCGCAGAGATTCCTCCAACTGATGCTCAAAGGCGCGCACTTCCTGCAGACAGACAACATCAGCCTCACTGCGCTGCAGAAAATCAAGAAATCCTTTTTTTGCACACGCACGTATACCGTTAACGTTCCAACTGATGATACGCACTATATATTCTCCGTAACTGCCAAATTCAACGCCGCAACAGTAAAGCGGCCCAGCGAAATAGATTCAGAACATCCGCAAGCGCTGCAGCAAAGTATGTAAGAGCGGCTGCGCGCAATATTCTGCGAATGGTGTGCTCTTCTCCTGGCGCAATGTACTGGCCTTCTTCCAATGCAGGCAAAGCTTTGCCGAAGCTGGCATCCCATTCTGTAGGCAATGTCACCAGATGTACTAACATGCGGGCCACCAGACCACTCATACCGATTAGAATCAGGCCGGAAAAAGGTATGGGGTGCCGGGTTAACAAGCCGACTACAGGGGCAAGCCAGATGGCTGCACTGGAGATGCGTGCGATGCGATCAGCCAGCGGTGCCAGCCGCGTTCTTGCTGCCAGATGTTTATCGCCCATGTGATCCTGCAAAGCATGGCCGACTTCGTGAGCAGCAATCGCTACTGCGGTCAGCGATTTGCCATTAAAATTGGCCTCAGAGAGCCGCACCATTTTTGCACTGGGATCGTAATGATCCCCTGCCTCAGTCGCCTCTACACCGACACCTTTGACGTCATACTTCTGCAAAAGATGCTGGGCAAGCTCCCCACCGGTGCCTGGCATGCCGGCGATTTCATCACTGTGTGCGCGCATGACCCAACGCACCCAGATGGTTGGCGCAAATACCAGAGCCAGGAGCACCGCAATAAGGATCAGCCACATGGATCAGGTCGTCTAGTAGCCGGTGCTTTCACGTTCTGCCTGGACTGTACCCCGAGCGGCCGCCAGCTCCCGGCTCGCATTTTTCATCATATGGCCACTTTCGCTGCCCAGGGTAACGAAGTTAAAGCCGAGACTCAGATACTTCTGCGCGTATTCCAGACTGGAAGTGTGGATACCAATGGCCTGTTTGTGTTTCAGACAGACACTCTGGATATATTTGACCATCTCCAGATGTTCTTCCTGTGGCTGGTCACCGTAAACATCCAGCCCCATCGCCAGAGCCAGGTCAGCAGGCCCGATGTAAATACCATTGAGGCCAGGTGTTGTGACAATTTCTTCAACGTTATCGATACCTTCCCGGGTTTCGATCATGGCTATACACGCCAGTTGATCATTGGCTTCCTGAGCATAGCCACGACCACCGTAGAGCGCACCCCGGATCGGTCCGAAGGAACGGTTACCCAGCGGCGGATAGCGGCAGGCGTGAACCGCCTGCTCCGCTTCACTGCGGTTATTAACCATTGGCACAATGACGCCGTAAGCGCCAGCGTCCAGCACTTTCATGATCTCGTAGGGTTCATTCCAAGGCACGCGGACAATGGGTGTTGTCTCGGTAGTGGATATGGCAGGTAACATCTGCGCCAGGTCGGTGTAGTCGATAATCCCATGCTGCAGATCAACACAGACCCAGTCGAAGCCCAGATTGGAGATCGATTCTGCTGAATAACTGTTGGCTAAAGACAACCAGCAGCCGATGGTTTGTTCACCCCTGCGCCAGGCGCTCAGCGATTTATTTTCCCTCATTAACGTGCTCCTGTGGCTTTCCATAACGCTGCACGATGGGCTGGCAACACGCAAGTTTTTTAGATGCAGCCAGGGTAAAAACGATCTATGCTGGCCTTATGAGCGATCTGATTATCGATACCCTGGAACGATGTGGTGAACGCGCGGGAGATATCTCTCCAGCTGTTTACAAAACATTTTTTGATGCCAATCCAGAGGCTTCCGAGCTGATGGCACACTCTGATGAAGGCATGAAAGGCCGCATGCTGGCACAGACCATCGAACTGCTGCTCGACGAAGATGCGGCCAGCACCAACGATTATCTGCGCTGGGAAGTGACCAACCATATCAGCGCTTATGCGGTACACCTTGAAATGTACCCTGCCTTTCTCGGCGCGCTGCGCAATACCGTGGCTGACGCGCTGGGTGACCAGTGGGGTGAGCCCGAAGCAAAAGCCTGGGACACCCGCATCAACAACCTGCTGGATGAGATAAAAGCGGTTTAGACCATAACCCGATCCGGTTTTGAATGTCTCCATTCCGCGAGCATCGTGCGTAACGCGCTGATAAACGCCATGGGCTGATCCAGAAACAGGTGGTGTTGCGCTTCTGGAATCCCCACAAACGGCACCGACTCATCCAGAACTTCGAACATGAAATCAGCAATGTCCTGGCTGAACAGATAGCTGTTCTCACCATACATGACAGCGACTCGACATTTCAGCAAAGCCAGCTCTTCATGCATGTTGTCGCCAAACTCAAACTTGTTGAACATCTGGTCGTCGAACTTCCAGGTCCAACCGCCTTCCGTCTCTTTCAGAGAATGCCGCCCGATGTAGTCCAGCACATATTCATTTGAGCAATCCTGCGGCGGCATCAGACGAAAGCGTCCCAGCGCTTCCTCAAAGGTTGGATAGATGCGTTTGGGTTTTATTGGTGAGCGACGCGGGTCACGCTCCCACTTGAAATCCGGCGGCCTGACCGCCGAATCGACCAGCACTATCCCTGACAGACGTTCGTTGAACAGAAGGCCGGTTTTAAGCGTGATAAAACCGCCAAAACTGTGGCCGACAACAATGAGGTCATCGCCAAATCCGGCGTCATCGGCAATACCTACCACCTCAGCGGCAAACTGATCCGGTGAATAATGGCTGCGGTAGCCACTGTCACCCGCACCAGACAGATCTATCGCTGCGACGCGGTAGTGAGACATGAAATAGGGCGCGAGAAAACTCCACCAGTGCGCGTGGGCGCCGTTACCATGCACCAGGATCAGGCCCGGTTTGGTTTCATCGTCTGCCCAGTACAGATAGTGGATCGGCACACCCTGAACATCGACCTGTTTATCTTCCGGTTTGATGGCTAATGCCCGCGTAAACCATCCTGGTGGTGTGTCACTCACAAAACTCTCCAAGCTCAATCAAACAAACGCGCCAGTATAACCGCATTGCTTCAACGCCTGGGTTTGGTTACTAATAGATTTTAACGGTGGATTTGCATATGCCTCTTGATGTCGAAACACACCAGGCTCTGGGTCTTGACCATGCTACGCCGGTCACTGTCAACGGCCGCAGCAACGCCGACATTGTCGCGGCGCTGCAGCACCCCTCTGACCGGGTCTACCACCCCTGTGCTGAAGCCTATCCAGACGCAAGCGTCCCGACCGGCACGGTGACCAAATACGCTGATTGGTCCGCGACCGGGATCTGTGCTGGCACAATCCGCGATATCGCCGTTTACGTGCCTGCCGAGACCACCGATGGCGCGCCCCTGAAGGTGCTGATCTGCAACGACGGCATGGGCTATCTGGCGCGTAACGGCCCTGTTCGTGTGACCTCGGTGCTGGACAGCTTGCAGGCAAGTGGGGAAATCCAACCCACCGTTGCAATATTCGTCAATCCGGGACGCCCGCCTGGCGCCGAACCATTTGGCAGCACAGCTGGATACGATGCCGCCGCAGACCAGCGCCGGGTCGAATATGACACTTTGAGCCCTGTTTATGGCACCTTCCTTGCCGAAGAGCTTTTACCCTGGGTGGCGGCTGAAATGAACATGACGTTTTCAGACAATCCAGCAGATCGAACCGTTTGTGGTATTTCCAGTGGTGGCATCTGCGCGTTCAGCGCAGCCTGGTTTGCGCCGCAGAATTTTGCCCGGGTCATCAGTCACTGCGGCTCTTTCACCAACATACGCGGCGGGCATAACTTTCCGTATCTGGTGCAAACGACTCCGCGTAAAGATCTGCGCGTATTTCTGCAGAGCGGCGCAAACGATGCGCAGACGTTGTTTGGCGACTGGCCCACCGCCAACCAGGCTATGGCCAAGGCCCTTGCCTACGCAGGCTACGATTATCGTTTTGAATTTGGCAACGGCGGCCACACACTTCGCCACGGCGGCGCGCTGTTTGCAGATACATTGCGCTGGCTCTGGCGCTAGACCACAGGACATCGTATGGACAGATTCAACAATCAACAGGTGGCCACCTGGCGCCGGGAAGGCGGGGTTCTGATCGAGAACTTCTTCACCGACGCAGAAGTAGCAGCAGTACGCGCCGACTTTGACAAGGTCTTTGGTCGAGCACACGGTGGCGAACACGCACAGAACAAAAAGCAGGAAGGTGAAATCGGCAAGTTCGACAGCGCTCAGTTTGCCACCTTCGAAGCAATCCCTTTCCGCGGTGCCAGGGCCCTCAACCTGATTGGCGTACACCCACAGCTGATCAAATTTGCGCGTGCTGCACTGGATACTGAAAACGTGCATCTTTACCAGTGCCAGGCGTGGGCAAAATTTACCGGTGATGCCGACTACGACCAGCCGTTTCACTGCGACTTCGTCAATCACACCTTAACCGTGCCGTCTGAAGATACGGCCCTCAACAGCGTGACCATCATCTGCTATTTCACTGATGTGTCAGAAGCCCACGGCCCCATGCACTACGTCAAGCGCAGCGACTCCGACCCCCTTGGTGGCGCCACCATGACCTTATCCGGCGGTCGCGATTTGCAACAGGCGCTGATGCCTTTTGCGCAGAGCAGTGCCGCATCCGCCGGAACAATTTTTCCCTACGGCATTGATGTTTTCCACCGCGGCACCAACATGACCGAGCCGGGCGGCGTGCGTTACGCTGTTATGGCGTGTTACAAAAAGTCCGGCGATGAGTCTATCGGCTACCATGCCTGGCCGTTCCACCATCTGAAACCGTGGCATGAACTGTTCGCCTGTGCCACCCCGGAACAACTCACGTGTTTTGGTGTACATCCACCCGGGCACCCTTTCTGGAGCGAAGTGACCTTAAGCCACGCGCAACAACGTTACCCGAACTGGGACCTCACACCTTACCGCGAAGCCCTGGCTTAAAACCCTTTTCTAAAAAAGGTGGCCCAAGCCGACAGGTCTCAATCTACCAGTGCCTGATAAACCCGGGTGCGCAATTCACGACGAATAGGATAGGTCGAAGACGGCATCAATTGAGTGAAAAACACAGTAAACAGCTCCTCCGCCGGATCCAGCCAGAAAAAAGTACTGGCGGCACCACCCCAGTGGTGCTCTCCCACCGACGTAATGATGTGTGCTTTCACCGGGTCCAGCACAACTGCAAAGCCCAACCCGAAGCCTATGCCATCGTAGCTGGTTTCACTCCAAACCGGCTGCCCCATGGCCGCCATATCTTTATTGTCAGGCAGTTGATTGATGCGCATATATTCCACTGTTTTGCGCCCCAGCAACCGCTGCCCATCCAGTTCACCCCGATTGAGCAGCATCTGACAGAAACGGGCATAGTCACCAATGGTGCCCACCAGCCCACCACCGCCGGAAAAAAGTTTAGCCGGCTCAAGAAAACGACTGTTGGCCGCCCCTTCGGTAAGCTTCAGACCACCACGCGGCGACGGTGTCTCACTCTTTGAGGTGCTGGCAACGCTACTCATATCACCTCCCGAAAGCGGCCCGTAGAGCGCGGCAAAGCGCTCATGATTCGCCGGCTTTACATGGAAGCCGGTATCGACCATCGCCAACGGTGTAAAAATATTCTGTGCAAAAAAAGCATCCAGCGATAAGCCCGACCATACTTCGACCAACCGGCCTAATACGTCGGTAGATACGCTGTAATTCCAACCGCTACCCGGCTGACAGATCAGGGGTTGTTGAGCAACGGTTTTGACCAGATCAGCCAGACTCGCTGCGGTTCCAGGGAACTCAATATGAGCTTCACGATAGGCCTGATCCACAACGTTGGTGTGCATGAAGCCATAGGTAAGGCCTGACGTATGTGTCATCAGATGCCGTATTGTCATGGGTGTCTGCTGCGGGTCGAGCGCATCTAAAGCGGCGTCACCCCCTCGCCACACCTGTGTAGCGGCAAACTCAGGAAGGTATGCTGCAACAGGGTCATCCAATTGGAACAGGCCCTGTTCGTAAAGCATCATGGCAGCAACCGTTGTCACCGCTTTGCTCATGGAATAGATCCGCGCAACGGTGTCCAGTTCAAACGTCCGCTGCAGGCTTTGATCAGCAAGCCCTGCAGTTTCTGCAAAGGCCAGCTTACCGCGCCGACCGATCAGGACGCTGCAACCGGCCAGGCGTTCGTCCTCTACCTGGGTCTCAATCCAGGCCGAAACCCTCTGCAGCCGAGTGCTGCTCATACCCACCGTTTCCGGTGCGACAGCTTCTAACACGTGTAAGTACCCCTTTGAATATCAACTAGGAAATTTGAACTGAAGGTCGCCCTTCATTAGGAGCCGAAGCGATAACGAAACTTCAGGACAAACACGTCTGCGAACGGATCCTGCCACGCACTGTCGAACAGATCGCTGAAGGTTTCCTCGTCCAGCGCGGTCCGCAGATCTGCCTGCCGTGTATAGACCAGAAAAATATCCGACAGCGGCGCTATTTCCCATCGGTAACGAGCCTGCAGCGTGTACTGCGAAACTGAAAAATCGTAACTGTCACGTGCCCCGGGCCCGCTAGGCTTGGCCGTCGGAATCAAATCGTCAGGGCGGCTGGGCACCCGATAAAAATCTTTTTCGGCCGCCTTTATGCCGATGTACTGAAAAGACAGCCTTAACTGCTGACGGGCATTAAAGAAATACTCGACGGATAAAGAGGGAACCCACTGCCGGGTCTCAAATGTGGCAAACAGGTCATCCTGCTGATGCAGCAACCAACCACCTCTTTCATCATACAAAACTTTCAGGTCAACACCAAGTCGGTCGTTAGGACGCCAGGTCAACCAGGCGCCATAACCGTTCGTAGTATCGCCAAGGTCTTCCTGTTTATATTTATACTCGGCTCCATAGCTCCAGGTCTGAGTCGAATCTGACGTCCAACTGACAATTGACTCCAGGCGATCTTCGATCCGAAAAGTTCCGTTACCAAAACTATTTATATCGTCATAATACGAAACAAAGTAGTTCAACCGAGCAACCAATTGCGACAGATTGTTGAGAGCTACCCGATCTGAAAGGAATATCCCGCCACCTGTTAAGAGCGATTGGGTTACACTTTTCTGCCAGAAACCGCGTAAATCAAACTGGTTTTCCCGAGCCCAAGACATGTTCGCAGTTGTCCAGATCAACGAACTCCGCACCCGGTACTCATCGTTACGCTGTAAAAAGCCAAGGTCGTTGATGTCAATGTTTTCATCAAAATACTCAAAACCGAGGCGTTGCTGCAGACCCTGGCGATAGGTGAACTCAAAATCTACAAAACCGCCATACCCTTTTTCATCACGCCGATCCAGATCCGACATCATGAATTGACCATCAACTTTCACGCCACCATTAGGGGATAGATAGTGTCCGTCTATGCCATGTACAACCGCGTCGCCAGCCTCGTTGAGCACCGCTGTAGACATCACCCCTATGGCCCGATACCCCTGGTTTCCGGTATTTTCATAGAGCAGACGTGCAATACCATAGTCACTGCCCGGCGCACTCAAGTTAATGGACTGTCCGTTATCGAGCACGTCAAATTTGATATCCTCTTCAAAAGCCCCCAGCACACCGTAACGAAAATTTCCCACCTGACCCGTCGTTTTAAAAGCACCCATCAGTTCAACAGGCTGAACTTCTTCTCGCAGCGGTAATTCAACACCTGGACCCAATATGGGGGCGGCCGGGCGCCCGCCAATTCGTCGAGTATTTACCATGGTATAAGGCGCGCCAGCGTTTCCGACACCTCGACCACGGGTATCTGAACGAGGCGAGGCTACAAATATGTCCTGACCTTCGAGGAAGAACAGGCGCTTTTCAGGGAAAAAAGTTTCCGTCGCGGTCAGATTGATGTCCACGTCATCCGATTCTACGTTTCCAAAATCAGGATTTAGCGTCGCATTGAGCTGAAAATTGCTGGATGGACGCCAGAACATATCCATGCCAACGCGATACAGTTGCCGGTTATCGACATTGTCGTACGATGTAGAAACAAAGGGGTACAAACTATACTGCTGACGAGGTTGTATATTTTTAAGTTCCACCCGCTGCAGAGACGACATGAACTTACTCTGAGTGGGTGGTAACGCAGGCCAACCCCAACGCTCATCTTTATAAGCGACCTTGCGTGAGACATACAAGCCCATGGCGCGTGTTTCTCCGGCGGCAGGCATCGACACCACGCCCCAGGGGATAAACATTTCCATCGACCAGCCTGTCTGGGTGAGCTGACTACGCCCGTACCAGGGTCCATCCCAATCGTTGTTAAAATTACGCTCCGGTAGCACCGTACCATCCATCAGCGCATCACCCAGGTTAACACCAAACCAGTAGCCGTAGCGTCCTTCACCGGACGTGTCGATGGTCAAGCTGACACTGTCGCGGTTGTCGAACATATCTCTACCGGATAAGCGTAAAATCAGAGTTTCACGCGGCTGATGCAAATCTGCAGCGAGGTAGAGACCCTTATCATCGTATGCCACTCGTAAAAAGGTAGCGTGCACACCCGGCTCAAGGGTGTCAGGCTCTATCACCACAAAGTCTTCTATCACCGGCACGCGCTGCCAGACTGCTTCGCGCAAATGTCCATCTACTGTGATGGGTGTGCGCTCAGGGTCAATCCGTGTTAACAACAGCGTCTGATCTGAATGGCCCTGCAGCAAAAGTGTTTCCGGCAATTCCGAAGCGCCGCCGGTCAGGGGCAAAATACAGACTAATGTTGTCGTCACCATAAGGCATCGCAAACGCGCTATTTTTGGAACAGCAAAACTGAATCGCCTTAACATGAGTCTCCCCACCCCGTTACTGCCTAATTCCTCTATTAAACCGCTTCTGGCCCCACAACAACAATGGTCTTACCAAAATTTCCGCCTGACAGCATGGCAGAAAACGCTGTTGGCGCCTGATCTAAGCCCTGCCAGCGATCTTCCCGATACTGCACCAGACCACGGGACACATAATCTGCCATCTCGGTGAGGAACTGGGCCTGATGGCTTTTCACAAAGTTGCCGACAAAAAGGTCGTGCGCTGCGACATTCTGCCGCGCAAAAACTTCTGCACCGGTCTCGTGCCAGGCTGCTTTGGCATCTGAACCATCGATATTGCCGTATTGGGAAATAAAGCCGCACAGGGAGATCCGCGCACCTTTGTTTAAACACGGCAGGACCGCCTCAAAAACCGGACCACCAACATTTTCAAAGTAGACATCACAGCCCTCTGGACAGGCCGCGCGCAGATCCTGCGCCAGCTGCTCGGACTGATGGCTGACACAGGCATCAAAACCCAGTTCTTCCACCACAAATTTACACTTATGCTCGGCACCGGCGATACCGACCACCCGCGCGCCTTTCAGCTTGGCGAGTTGCCCAACCACCTGACCAACGCCGCCACTGGCAGCCGAGACCACTACGGTTTCACCGGGCTGAGGCTGGCACTGCACAATAAGGCCTGCATACGCGGTCAAGCCGAGCATGCCTAACACACCTATCCCCGTTGATATCGGCGCAAGCGCGGGATCGAGCTTGCGTGGCAACATGTAGCCAAAGGTACTGACGCCTTCGCCGGAGAGCCCGAAGGTCTGCCATCCATTGGTGTTGAACACATAGTCCCCTTCCTCGTAACCTGGCAGACGGCTACGCACCACCTGGGAAACAGTGCGGCCATGACAGACATCACCCGGCGCTTCCATACCCGAACGACGGCGCCCCCATTGGTAAGGATCTAATGAGAGATAAATTGTGCGTGTCAGCATCTGATTTTCGCCAGGCTCCGGCGCCTCATCTATATGCCATGCAAAATCTTCATTGACCGGCCAGCCACCGGTGGGTTTGCGCGCCAGGCGCCACTGCGGATTATCAGCCCCCATTAAACGATGTCTCCCCATTTGTGTTCGATAAAGCTTGAGATCTTGTCAATAGTACTTGAGGGACTTTACTGGAGTTGCGTAGGATCAGACACCCGTATCAAAAGCAGAATCTATGACATCATTTTCAGAACAGCCCGTTGCTTCCGATGAAGTGGGATTACTTGAAGGTATGGCCAGCACCCGTGCTATCCGTCGCTACCGCGATGAACCCATTCCTGAACAGGTGTTGCGCGATATGTTATTCACAGCAACCCGCGCGCCCAGCGGATCTAATCGTCAACCGTTTCGATTTGTAGTGCTGACAGATTCAGACAAAGCAGTACAGGCTAAAAAGCTGATCGGCGATTCAGCCATCAAATTCTGGGATGCCAAACGCGCCAACGACCAGTACGACAAAGGCAGCGGCGCTGACCCGAACTCACCTAAATCACGTATGGCGCGGACCATGCAAAGTTACGTAGACAACCTGCACAACGCACCCTGTCTGATTTTGCCGTGTCTGGTGCGTTACCGGGCACCCAACCCGATGGAAGGGGCATCCATTTATCCTGCGGTACAGAACCTGCTGCTGGCTGCGCGCGGCATGGGCTACGGCGGCGTGATCACGGGTTTTCACGGCCCGGTTGAGGACCAATTGAAGCCATTGCTCGGCATTCCAGAGGAAGTTTTCATCAGCTGTACCGTGACGCTGGGCAATCCCCAGGGCAAACACGGACCAGTACGGCGCCGGCCGATGCAGGAGCTGGTGTTTGGAGATACCTGGTCAGAAGCACCCACATGGGCAGTGGACCCGCCGGGCACCCAGCACACCAGCGCCGGACCGCCAAAAGGCGTCAAAGCCCTATGACATCGGCATCTGGGACAACAACCATGCAGGCTGTCTGCTGCGCTGAATTTGGACCACCCGAACAATTACAGCGCATCGAGGTGCCACGTCCGATACCCAAGGCCAACCAGGTCCTCGTCAGAGTCGGTGCTGCGGGTGTCGGCTTTGTTGATGGTTTGATGATTCAGGGTAAGTACCAGATCAAGCCACCCCTGCCCTACTTCCCCGGCAGTGAATTTGCGGGCGTGGTAGACACCGTCGGCGCAGAGGTCACCCATCTGCAACCCGGAGACCGCGTTATGGGTTCAGGCGGCAGTGGTGCCTTTGCCGATTTTCTTATCGCACCTGCCAGCAGCCTGATCAACATTCCCGCTCAACTGGATACCAATGTTGCAGCCGGTTTCTTCATCAACTACGCCACGGCACTGTACGGCTTTGCGCATTGCAGCCAGTTACAGGCCGACGACACCGTACTGATTCTTGGTGCTGCAGGCGGCGTCGGCTCAGCGGCTATAAGCGTGGCACGGGCCATGGGCGCACGGGTTATCGCCGCAGCGTCCAGCCCGGCAAAACGCCAGGCGGCGTTAGACTTCGGCGCACAGGAAGTGGTCGACTACAGCCAGGAGGATTGGCGTTCTTCCCTGAAAAAACTCACAGAAAACAGTGGCTTACAGATGGTTTATGACCCTGTGGGCGGTGCGGTTGCAGAGCCTGCATTTCGCTCGTTAAGCCCCGGCGGTAAACATCTGGTGGTGGGTTTTGCCAGTGGCGAGATACCCAAACTGCCGTTTAATCTGGCCCTGCTTAAGCAGTCATCACTGGTCGGCGTAGACTGGGGCGGCGCATCACGCAGTGATCCGCAACTGAATCACAAGCTTATGGAGACTCTGATGTCGTGGGTTGTCGAAGACAAACTCAAGCCCGCAGCAGTTGTTTCGCTACCGATGAGTCAATACAAGCAGGGACTCAAGCGCCAACTGGCTGGCGAGATTGTTGGCAAACTGGTGCTGACCAACTCAGACTGATCAGGCTGCGTTTAGCTACGGGACATCCCGATAGTGGCGCCCTCGCTGGCGCACCGGTTCCAACAACTGCCAGTCACCCTCTGGAATTTCATACCCTTGCGGATGTGGTGCACGAGGTTCCATCTCCAAGCTGACCATCACCCGATCATCACGGTAGTAACACTGCACAGCAAGGCTCACCAGCGCATTCACCTCAGGCGTTCTGGTCTGACTCAACGTCACCAGGTCGGTGCTGCGATAGGTTGCCAGCGCACTCTTAATGAGAGGGGCGGACGACCTGCCGGTAGAAAGGATATCAGCCATAATCAGTGGATCGTCGGCGCCAGGGCGCAGCTCATTGGCGGGAATCATATAAGCAAGCACGCTTTGCAGGTCCTGCTTGTCGTCCGCATCAAACGGATCATCGCTGGTGATCATCTCACTCATCTCAACTCACTCCCAATGCCACTAATCAAACAAGTTAGCCAGGTTCTGTTTCATTTTATCCGCAACATACAACGCCAGGGCCTGAATCGTTCGGGTTGGATTCACCCCCGCTGACGTCACAAAAATACTGCCGTCGACCACAAACAGATTTTTCACATCATGGCTGCGGCCCCATTCATTCACCACCGACCGCTGCGGGTCTGTGCCCATTCGAGCGGTACCCATCAGGTGCCAGCCCCCTACCGCAATGGGCGATTCGTGATACACATCCACGGCACCCGCGGCACGTAACACTTCAGTGGCGCGTTCCACAGAAAACTCCAGCATCTTCAGGCTGTTGTCACTGAGGGTGTAGTCAATTTTTGGTGCAGGAATACCGTGTGCATCAGTGAGGGTGGCATCCAGAGTGACCGTATTGTGTTCCTCAGGCAGATCTTCACAGATGCCGACCATGCCGGTGACACGGTTCTGCAGCTTTGCAAAACCTTCATGATGTCCTTCACCCCAGGGAATACGGCCGGATAACATGCCATGCAGCGCAGTCGTGACAGGGCCATTGCCGCGGTTTATTTCATAAGTGAAACCGCGCAGAAAACCGCGACGGCTGTCCGTCTCATAAAACTCCTGGCTCTGGATGCACACGCTGGGACCTTTAGGACCATCCAGCTCTTCCTCAAATATGCCGCGGATCATCGAATACGGATGAAACATGAGGTTTTTGCCCACGAGACCACTTGAGTTAGCCAGGCCGTTCGGAAAACGCTCGGATTTTGAATTCAACAGAATCCGCGGGGTGCCCACACCGTTGCACGCCATAATGACCACATGCGCCGGCTGAAATTGCTCTACTCCATGCTCGTCATAATAGATGGCACCATTGGCCATGCCGGCATCGTCCAGGGTGATCTCGCGGACCCGGGCGTGAGTGCGCACCTCAACTCCAGCCCGCACCGCATGTGGCCAATAGGTAATATCCGTGGTGGCTTTGGCACCCTGAGCACAACCGCTGAGGCAGGCGCCAAGATTGATACACTGAGCACGCCCATCGTAATCTTCGGTGGCCACCGCGGTATCGGAAGGCCACCAATGCCAGTCCAGTTCGTTAAACCCTTTGGCCAGAGCGGCTCCGGCTTTGCCCAGCGGCACAGGTGGCATGGGGACTTCTTTGGGCGGATAAGCAGGATCACCTGTTAAACCGGAAACGCCCGTGATGCGATCATTTTCTTCGTAATAGGATTCCAGCGTGGCGTAATCAATGGGCCAGTCGTCACCTACCCCATCCAGGGAACGCACCCGGAAATCAGACGGATGAAATCTGGGGTAGTGCCCGGCATATAAAATGGTGCTGCCGCCAACGGCATTGAAATTGGCCACCGAAATGGGTGAGTTGCTATCGTTCACAGGATAATCTGACGCCAGACCGCGGCGATTCGGATTGATCGACATATCTCCCCAGGCCCGAGCTTCCCAGTCGCGACCGGTGCTGGGGTAGGTCAGCGGATTCATCCACCCGCCCTGCTCCAGCGCCACGATCTGCATACGGGTCTCTGCCAACGAATAGGCAATGGCGGCACCGGACGCACCGGCACCAATGATCAGCACATCAACGGGTTCTAAAGACATGGTTCCTCCCTGTCAAACAATCATAGGACTGCACGATCAGCGAAACAACAGACAGGCAAAAAAGTCATCATTAAACACCGATGGCGCGGCAAATCATTCTGCGTGTACACTTTGGGCAAACAAAGCTTCGGGGAGAACACCATGAACACAGACGACTCAGCCGTTAAAACCCTGCTTGGCGACCTGGATTTTGATCCTGCACAGCTGAAAGAAAAATATCTGTCAGAACGCGATAAACGCGTGCGGACCGATGGCAACGATCAGTACATTGAAGTAACCGCTGAATTCTCGAAGTATGTCGATGATCCCTATGTGGAACAGCCCATCGAACGCGAACCCCTGTTTGATGAAGTCGAGGTGGTGATTATTGGCGGTGGTTTTGGTGGCCTGCTCACCGGTGCACGCCTGCGCGAAGCGGGATTTGATGACATACGCGTGATTGAAAAAGCCAGCGATTTTGGCGGCACCTGGTACTGGAACCGTTATCCCGGCGCCATGTGTGATGTTGAATCCTACTGCTATCTGCCGCTGCTGGAAGAAATGGGTTATATCCCCCAACACAAATACTCTTTTGCACCAGAGATTCTCAATCATAGCCGCAACATCGCAAAGAAGTTCGACCTGTACAAAAACGCCTGCCTGCAAACCAGTGTCACCGAGTTGCGCTGGGATGAAGACGAGGCACGCTGGCACATCCAGACCGACCGCGGCGACGATATGCGCGCGCAGTTTGTGGCCATGGCTAACGGCCCATTAAACCGGCCCAAACTTCCGGGCATTCCTGGCATCAACGATTTCAAAGGGTATACCTTCCACACCAGTCGCTGGGACTATGACTATACCGGAGGGGATTCTTCTGGCGGGCTAACCGGCCTGAAGGATAAACGTGTGGGAATTATTGGTACCGGTGCAACCGCCGTACAGTGCATCCCTCACCTGGGTGAGTGGGCGAAAGAACTGTATGTCTTTCAGCGTACGCCATCCTCCATCGACGAGCGCAACAATCACCCCACCGACCCGCAGTGGGCGGAGTCATTAGAACCAGGCTGGCAACAGGCGCGCATGGACAACTTCAACGTTCTTGTGTCTGGCGGCGAACAGGACGAAGACCTGGTCCACGATGGCTGGACAGACATTTTCCGCAATCTCACCGGCACCGCGGCAAAAATTGCCAGCCGCAAACTTGGCCGACGCCTCACCGGCGCCGAGCGCGCCGAGCTGATGGAGCTGTCGGATTACCAGAAAATGAACAAAGTGCGCGCGCGTGTGGACCAGCTTGTTGAAGATGGCAACACCGCTGAAGCCTTAAAACCCTGGTACCGCCAGTTTTGCAAACGTCCCTGTTTTCACGATGAGTACCTGGACACCTACAACCGCCCCAACGTGCATCTGATTGATACCCACGGCAAGGGTGTCGAAGCGATGACGGAAAATGCGGTGATGGTTAACGGCGAAGCTATAGAACTGGACTGCCTGATCTTCGCTACCGGTTTCGAAGTGGGCACGTCTTATACCCGCCGTGCGGGTTATGACATTATCGGCAAGAACGATGTTCATCTGAGTGATCATTGGGCCGACGGTGTACGAACTCTGCAGGGCTTATCCAGCCATGGGTTTCCGAATTGTTTTTTCCTCGGCTTTACACAAACAGCAATCACGGTAAATGTGCCTCATGCGCTGAACGAGCAGGCCAAGCACATCGCCTATATGTTGAGCGAAGCGCGCAAGCGGCAGAAAGGTGTGCTGGAAGTGACCGCAGAGGCTGAACAGGAATATGTGGATGAAGTACGCAGGCTCGCTAAAGTTGGCGCAAGGTTTTATGCAGAATGCACGCCGGGCTATTACAACAGCGAAGGCAAGCAAGGCAACAACGCCGGCTTCTTCTCAGACATGCACGGCGCAGGCCCCATTCGTTTTTACGAAATGCTGGCCGAATGGCGGGACGAAGGGAATCTGCGCGGTATCAAGCTGAGCTGACCTGTTACCGGTAAGCCAGAGTCTGGTGGAGTTCCGCCAGACGCAGCTCTGCTGTATCCAGCGCGTACTCCAGTTCCGGCAGCCGCGTGTTGATGCTGGCACGCTCATCAAGTAACGACTCAAATTTTGCAACCAGATTCACCCGCTCTTCAACGGTCAGATCGGGAACCAGTTGCGCCGTTGTGGTGCCCACTAACTCTTCTTTGATCTGCACCAGGCGCTGTTCATCCTGCTGAATTTGCGATGCGAGCCGGTTTACTTCACGCTGTGCCTGATAGATCTGTCGACCGTCTGCATAAGCTGCTGCAAAAGCGCTCTGTAAGGTTTCCGGGCAGACTGTATTCATACCGGATCCGCGTATGCCAAGCTGGTAGCCGTTCTGAGCGGTACAGTAATTGTTCAGGCCTTCGCGCCAACCGGCAAGGTAGCCATCGCGCTCTGGAAAGATACCAAACTCACCACAGGCTTCCTGGTGGGCAAGAATATGAGTGTTAGCCACGCCATTGGCACCATCGCGGAAGCCGATGCTCTGCCAGTCTCCGGCTCTGCATTGATATTCTGTGACCGAAGGTTTGCTGGCGCAGCCGACAAGTACCAGGGCTGCGGCCAGAATAATAATGCGCTTGTTTAACCCCATCATGGGCACACCTCTTGATTCATACATCTCTTGACCAGACAGCGTAGGCAGATCGGTCCGCCTGATGGGTGACCACGGTCTCAATTTATGACAATAAGAGGGAAATACAGCCGTTATTTGCGTTTTTTATAGTCGTTGTGACGGACATGCTGGGTGCGGAAGGTTTGACCACCGCCACCCTTCTTCTGCTGACCGCGCTGCTGCCGCTGCTCTTTCTTCGCCGCATCACCGCCGGTGCCCGCGGGCTGATAGGTCGGCACCAGGTGTTTTTTACCATTACCAATCAGATCTTCGCGACCCATATCACGCAGGGCCTCACGCAGAATAGGCCAGTTGTTAGCATCGTGGTAACGCAGAAACGCTTTGTGCAGACGTCTCTGTTTATAGCCTTTTGGCACATAAACCTGTTCGCCGTCGGCTTTTACTTTGCGCAGCGGATTGGTACCGCTATGGTACATGGCGGTTGCAGTAGCCATCGGACCCGGCAGGAAAGCCTGCACCTGGTCTGCCCGGAATCCATTTTCCTTCAGCCACAGCGCAAGCTCCAGCATGTCATCATCTGTTGTACCCGGGTGCGCGGCGATGAAGTAAGGGATCAGGTACTGCTCTTTTCCCGCTTCTTTGGAATATTTATCAAACAGTTCTTTAAAGCGGTAGTAGGTACCCATACCCGGCTTCATCATTTTCGACAGCGGCCCATCCGAGAGTGCCTCTGGCGCAATTTTCAGATAACCACCCGTGTGGTGTTTGGCCAGCTCTTCAATGTATTCCGGTGACTCATTGGCCAGGTCATAACGAACGCCTGATGCAATCAACACCTTCTTGATGCCCGGCATTTCCCGCGCCTTACGATACAGCTGTATCAGCGGCGAGTGATCCGTATTCAGGTTCGGACAGACACTGGGAAATACGCAGCTGGGTCGACGGCAGGCCGACTCTATTTCTTTGCTTTTACAGGCCAGCCGATACATGTTCGCGGTGGGTCCGCCAAGATCAGAAATCACGCCGGTGAAGCCTGGCACACGATCACGGATCTCTTCCACCTCACGCAGAATCGAAGCTTCGGAACGGCTCTGAATAATGCGACCTTCGTGTTCGGTAATCGAGCAGAACGTGCAACCGCCAAAACAACCCCGTTGAATGGCCACCGAAAAGCGAATCATCTCGTAAGCCGGGATCTTGGCATCACCGTAAACCGGATGTGGCACCCGTGTGTAAGGTAATTCGTAGACCGCATCCATCTCTTTTGTGGTCAGCGGAATCGGCGGCGGGTTAATCCAGACGTTGGTATTGCCATGCTGCTGCACCAGGGCACGCGCGTTGCCAGGGTTTGATTCCACATGTAACACCCGGGATGCGTGGGCATACAGAATCGGATCTGCGGTGACCTGTTCAAAACTCGGCATGCGAATCACCGAGGTGTCGCGGTTTTCACTGGGCACGTCGCGCACGAAGCGCACCACCTGCACATCGTCCGGCAGCGATGCCTGATCGCGACCCTTGCCCACCTCAGGCTTCATCTCATACGGGTCTTCTTTAGGGTTGAGACGTCCAGGGGTATCCAGGTGCGTGGAGTCAATTTCCGTCCAGCCGCCGGGGGTTCGCGTGCGTTTGAAGGCTGTGCCGCGGATATCGGTGATCTCTTTAATGTCTTCACCAGCCGCCATACGATGGGCGATTTCAGCAATCTGCCGTTCCGCATTGCCAAACACCAGCAAATCAGCTTTGGCATCCAGCACCAGCGAGCGACGGATTTTTTCAGACCAGTAATCATAGTGCGCAATGCGACGCAGGCTGGCTTCGATACCGCCGATGATGATCGGCGTAGACCCGTATGCTTCGCGCAGCCTGTTGGCGTAAACAATGACGCTGCGATCCGGACGTTTACCACCGATACCACCAGCTGTGTACGCATCATCCGAGCGCACTTTGCGATCTGAGGTATAGCGATTCACCATGGAATCCATGTTGCCGCCGGTGACGCCAAAAAACAGATTGGGTTCACCCAAGACCTCAAAGTCTTTTGTTGATTGCCAGTCCGGCTGGGCAATGATACCCACACGAAAACCCTGGGCTTCCAGAAAACGTCCCACAATCGCCATGCCAAAACTCGGGTGATCCACATAGGCATCCCCGGTGACAATGATGATGTCGCAGCTGTCCCAGCCAAGTTCATCCATTTCCGCACGGCTCATCGGCAAGACAGGCGCGGGTGTCAGACGATGCGCCCAGTATTTGCGATAACTCATCAGCGACCTGGGGGTCGCATCAACCGAAGATTCTTGGATATTTTTCATAGCGCGGCATTCTACCTGGCTCTATCATGAGGCGGGTTATAAATTTCAAGGGGAGAAGACCATGTTAAACAAAGTATGTCTGGCCATTGTTCTGACACTGTGCGGCCTGCACGTCGTGGCGGAGGAAACATTGCTGTACGAAATGCGCACCTACACCACCAATGAAGGCAAGCTGGACGCGCTGCATGAGCGCTTTCGCAATCACACCATGACCATATTTGAAAAGCACGGCATGCAGAATGTAGGTTACTGGATACCCGCAGAGACACCGGAAACACTGATCTACATCATTGCCCACAAAGACAGTGCTGCGGCGCAGGCCAGCTGGCAGGCGTTTGTTGCTGATCCCGAATGGCAGGACGTTTATGCAAAATCTATTGCAGACGGCCGCCTGGTGAAAAATATTGTCAGCGTGTTCATGACCAAAACTGATTACTCGCCCTGATCTGCATGCAACCGGTGCGTTCGGTTTAAACAACCGAGCGCGGACAGGTTTCTGCGCCGACAGGAGGCTAGGGAAGACGCTGGGCTTTAGCAAACCCGGAACTTATTACACCACTGCTGTTCTGCACAGCCCCAGACCAGTCACGCCACATGTCACCATCCGGCGGACTGCTGCGCAGCTCATCCAGTTTGTCAGTCCAGAAATCAGCCAATACTGCCTGTCGAATAACATCTGAGTAGTTGTGCCCGGCCATGTGCGCTGTCCGGTGATGCCAGAACACAATGTCACCCGCTTTGCCAAAACACTCCACAGGCTGTTCCTGGGTATCCAGTTCTTCGATTGTTCTGAGATATTCAGGTGTGTGCACAATGCCTTTGAAACTGGGTAGATGATCGTAATAAGGAATGCGCGGTTGATCGTAACGCAGGTTAAATGTGGGATAGAGTCTGGCGTGTGACCCGGGCCAGACTTTAAAAGCGCCACCGCCTTCAGGAATATCATCCAACAGGCCGACCACACCTAACTGAAACGGGTGCCCATCAGTATGGCAGGCATCCGCTTCGCGGGGTTTATCTCCGTAGGGTAGCGTGCAGTAAACCCCGCGCGCGCCTTCGGTGCCGACGGCAGGGTCTGTTGGTCCACCAGGCCAGGCCGGACCCTGGCTACCCATGGGTGTACCCCCGACAACCGCCTGGCGCAATTCCCCGCCCAGCAGTTGTTCAGCCATCGCACAAATCGTTTCACTGTAGATCAGTTCAACCACCTGGGGTGACACACCCAGGGCGCGATTCAACCAGCGATAACCCTGGCGAGTGTGCACTGAATCCAGGGATTCATCCTCAGACAGGAAGGGGCCTACATGGGTCGCTTTTTCATCCCGGCGGAGATGACTGTCAGGGGGCAGTGCCGCCCACATCTCGTCACGCACTTGAGCACAAAGCGCCAGGTCCATCGCCCCGGGTACCAGAAGGTATCCGTAACGTTTGAAAAAACTGATCTGTTCATGACTCAGCCTCACAGTCATTCCCCTTTGAATATCACTCTGCTGGCAGCGCCAACCGATCATCTCTATGATGGCCCGCGATGTCCAGCAACTCCACACACAGCAATATTCTGATTATCGGTGCCGGTTCCGCAGGTGCGGTACTGGCCAATCGACTCAGTGAAGACCCGGACTGTCAGGTTACCCTGCTGGAAGCAGGGGGCAGCGATCGTCGCCTGATTGTGCAGATGCCGTCGGCTTTTTATCTGCCGGTAAAAAACAAGTCCCTCAACTGGGGATATATGAGCGAACCGGAAGCACAGCTGAACAATCGTCGTCTGCTGTGCCCAAGGGGGCGGGTATTGGGTGGTTCTTCTTCGATCAACGGCATGGTCTATGTGCGCGGCAATCCTGCGGATTTTGCCGCCTGGCAGGCACTGGGCGCAGACAATTGGGACTACACCAATGTTCTCCCCTACTTTCGCAAAGCACAGAACTTCGAAGGGGTAACCGGCGAAGATGAGTACAGAGGGGCGCAAGGACCTCTTGCTGTTTGTGACGGTGAGCTGGCCAGCCCGCTCTATCAGACTTTTTTACAGGCCGCCGCCCAGGCCGGACACAATCTCAGCCCGGACCTGAACGGTGCTCAGCAGGAAGGTTTTGGCAAGCTACCTATGACCGTAGATAAAGGTGTGCGGGCATCCACTGCCCGCGCGTATCTGCAGCCTGCACGACACCGGCCGAACCTGACCATTCACACCCGTACCCACGCCTTGAATTTACTGTTTGATGGGAACAAAGCGACCGGTGTAACCGCAGACCAGCGAGGTCGGCAAAAAGAATTTTACGCCGACGAAATTATTCTCTGTGGCGGAGCGATCAATACCCCACAACTCATGATGTGTTCAGGCATTGGACCCGCAGAATCGCTGAAGCAGGTGGGTATCCAACCCAGGTTAGATCTTCCGGGCGTGGGCCAGAACCTGATGGACCACCTGGAAATCTATGTACAACAGGCCTGCAAACAACCGGTCAGCCTGTATAAAGATCTGGGCTTATTCGGACGTGCAAAAATAGGTTTGCAATGGCTTGTTAACCAACGTGGCCTGGGCGCGACCAATCATTTTGAGGTAGGTGGATTCATTAAAAGCGATGCCAGCGCGCCCTATCCCAACATCCAGTTCCACTTTCTACCTGCCGCCATGCAATATGACGGCAGCGCAAAAGCAGAACAGCATGGCTTCCAGGCACATGTCGGCCCGATGTTATCCCAGAGCCGAGGGGCGGTAACCTTATCCAGCAGCAACCCGAAAAAACATCCGCGCATAGCGTTTAACTATATGTCGCATCCAGAGGACTGGCAGGTGTTTCGCCAGGCCATTCGCGCCGCCAGAGAGATTTTTGCGCAGGAGGCATTTGATGACTTTCGCGGCATTGAATTGCGGCCTGGCGCACAGGCACAAAGTGACGCAGAGCTTGAAGCGTTCATTTCAGAACACGCAGAAAGCGCTTACCACCCTTGCGGAACCTGTCGCATGGGCGAAGACAACGGTGCGGTAGTCAACAGCGAAGGACAGGTTCACGGCATTGACCATTTAAGTGTGGTGGATGCTTCCATATTCCCTCGTATCACCAACGGCAACCTGAATGCTGTTGTCATCATGGTTGCTGAACGCTGCGCAGATTTGATCAAATCCAGAATCTGATCAAAGCAGGGTCTGGATGAATAGACCCCTGGCAATTAGACTAGGCACTGAGTCATCAAGAGAAAATGTTATGAGCAAAAAAGTAGACTGGTACTACTATCGCGGGGGCTGAACCACCTGCACTAAAGCATCCAAGTTTTTGGAAGCCAGTAATATCGAAGTGAAAGAAACCGTTCCCGCGAGCCGTAAACTGCAGCGTGAAGATGCCGAAGCTTTATTAGCTAAAGCCACAAAAATGACTGTGGCCAAGGGTAAAAAGGTGCAAACCTTCAAGGGTGGTAAAAATGCGCCCACAGAGGCCGTAGACGCCATGCTCGGGGCAACCGGCAACATGCGCTCACCCACTATTGTTGTGGGCAAAACCTTGTTAGTCGGGTTTAACGAAGAAGCGTTCAGCGAAACATTCGGCTGAACAGGTGATTGAGTACTGAAACGACTCAGTACTCAATAACACTGTTTTCGAAAATGAACCCACCTGGGGACATCACCAGTCGATGGCGTTCGCCATCGACATCAGCATCCCAGGGTTCGTAACCCGAATCACCTTCCCACAACGCTACGCGCGTGCCTTCGGAATTCTGCACCACGCGTGTGGCGTAGTACCTGGGTTCCTGTTCCGTAAGACGCGACATCAGCGAAGCACTGGGTGTATATCGCGAAAGATGATAAAGCGTAACCCAGGTAGGAGGCACCAGATCGATCTCACCTGCAGCATGCCGCTCCAGGGCTTTAACCGGGCTGACCCAGGCATGCTCTTTGATTTCGCCGTCATCAATAACCACCTCATCGTCACTGTCCAGCACCGTTGCAAAAAACCAGGTCGCAAAACGCTTCTGCGGACCTGGTGGTGGTGTCCAGTGTGCAAACCAGGTGAATTCGTCAGGCGTTACAACAAGCCCGGTTTCTTCCAGGGTTTCACGGGTTGCAGCGGTTCGGGCAGCGTGGGTATCGTCAGCACCGGGCTGGCGATCGGCGGCGTCAATTTTGCCGCCGGGAAAAACCCACATACCACCAAAGGTGATTTTCGAGTTTTTCCGCAACATGAGCACCTCAACCCCCTCCTCGCCGTCGCGTAGCAGGACCACGGTGGCGGCAAGAATGGGAGGTGCTACGCCCTCGTCGTCTTCCGATCGGGCGTTGATGTCTCCATACATGTCATTTTTATGCGCCATGATTCCCGGCCTCGCTCGACTACAGTACTTCGAACAAACCAGCAGCACCCATGCCGCCACCAATACACATGGTGCAGACAACGTACTTGGCGCCGCGCCGTTTGCCTTCGATCAAGGCATGCGCGACCATCCGCGAGCCCGACATCCCATAGGGATGGCCCACTGAAATGGCACCGCCATTCACATTCAGCAGTTCATCTGGAATACCCAGCTTGTCACGGCAGTAGACAACCTGCACAGCAAACGCTTCGTTGAGCTCCCACAGTCCGATGTCATCCATTTTCAGGCCATTTTTTTCCAACAGCTTGGGTACGGCAAACACCGGACCAATGCCCATCTCATCTGGATTGGTACCAGCAACGGCCATGCCACGATATGCACCCAATGGCTGCAAGCCACGTTTCTCAGCCAGACCGGCTTCCATTAATACACAGGCTGACGCACCATCCGACAGCTGAGAGGCATTACCTGCGGTCACATGTTTGCCTTCGGCAATCACCTGACCACCGGAAAACACTGGCTTCAACCCGGCCAGAGATTCGGCGGTTGTACCGGGTCGGTTGCCTTCATCTTTGTCCAGGGTAACTTCTGAGTCGGTGACTTCGCCGGTTTCTTTATTCTGGAATTTCATGATGGTGGACATAGGCACAATTTCATCATCGAACTTACCTGTTGCCTGAGCTTCTGCAGTGCGCGCCTGGGAATTGGCGGCAAGGATATCCTGGGCTTCACGACTCACATTGTATCGTTCTCCGACCACTTCAGCAGTTTCCAGCATAGCCATGTAAAGCGCTGGCTTGTTTTTTAACGCCCAGGGGCTGGGAATGGCAAACATGTCTGCCGTCTGGTTCATCGAAATAGATTCCACACCGCCCCCTATGGCCACGTCCATGCCATCACTGATGATCTGTTTTGCAGCGATACCAATTGCCATCATCCCGGATGAACACTGCCGATCGATGGTTTGACCCGCAACACTATCCGGCAAGCCGGCTTCAAGCAGACACTGACGCGCAGTATTGGAAAATGCAGAACCCATCTGGATGGCCGCCCCCATGATCACGTCTTCTACTTCTGCAGGGTCAATGTTTGCCCGTTGTACCGCATGACGAATGGCATGCGCGCCTAGCGCCTGGCTGG